CAGAAACGTGACAGGAGCTTCTGTTTGTAAGACATGTCCTTGTACAGACTGCTGTGGGTTAAATGCCCGCTCATTTAGCCCCCAAATTTGCCTTTTTTTTTTTTTTTTTTCTCAACAGCAGTTCTGGGTGTTGAGTCAAGGGAAGATGAATCCAAGTTTAAGGCTCAAGTAAAGTGCTAAAAAGATCCCCTCGCATTCCACGCCCCACCTTGCTTGCTTGGTGGTTTCTGTGTTAGGTTTCTAGTCAGTCCCTGGTGCGAGGAAGGCCTGTTAAGACTATGGAGACCCAGTTCCAGTCTCCTTTTGACAGTGGTCCGAGCTTCTCACTCTGAGAAAACAGCTCTCGGCCCCTGTGAAGCCAGTGAAGTGTCTGCAGAACCATCCAGCTTCTCTTTTCCATCTGCGTTTCCCTGAAAGGGGCTTGGAGAAGGGAACGCTTTGCCTCTTGTTGGAATGGGAGAAAGACCTGATGGAAGACACTGCGTGTGGCTCCCTTGGCACCTCCTGCAACGCTGCCACGTGTGTGTCTGGGCTCGTTTCCTGGGTCCTGGGAGAAGGTGGGCAAGAAGACCCTTCCGTGACTGCCAGGGCCAGACAGGATGTGGCGCCAGGTGTTGGGGTGGCACGTGCGGAGCATCAGACAGCAAGTCCGGGCACTTGCCTGCGGCTTAGGAAGTGCAGCCCGGCAGCGTGTTGTGGCTGTTGAGGTAAAGTACTGCCTTGAGCCTGGATCACATTATAGATCTCAACACTGCTGAGCAGGTGGGAGAAGGAACCAAAAACACGCGAGCTGGTTTTACTCTAGCTTGTGAACGAAGAACTAGTCTAAATAAAAAAATATAAAATAAAAAAAAAAATTAGATTAAGAAACAAACTCTTGGAGGAAGAGATTAATGATAGAAAAATTGGTGGCTGGGAGCTGAAGCGAGGCAAAGATGAGGCAAATGGGGAGTCAGTCCAGCCAGATTTAGTTGCAGTTAAAACTTAAGGAGAATTGTCTCCCAATGTCCTGAAAGAACAGAAATTAGATGAACACAACCGAAGATAGTTTTGTACTTAATACAGAGGCTTGGAAAACGTCATCCAGGTCTCTCTGTCTCCACTCTGAATCTGCATTGCTGCATGTTAATGTAAATATCTATTATGCAGCTTTGCTAATGCAACCAGGTTTTGGCAGAAGGCAGTAATACTTATTAAAGCTTGCAAAAAATACTGCCCTAAATCAAACGTATTAGCATGTTACTTCAATTAAAGCTTGTCCTCAGTCACAGATTGTATATAACAAGGACTTCCTTCCTCTTAGGAAATACTTGTCTGTTTTGACAGATCCATACAGGCAAATGTCCAAGAGGAACTCGCAGGTTCCAAGAATACACATTTTAAAACAGACCTGAGTTATGAAAAGGGCTTATTTTTCTTGATAAACAGCTGGATGACTGTGATCAAGATAACTGGAAATATCCTCTTATTCCTTACTACCTTGTATGTTTATTCAGGGCAAGTAAAGCATGTAATGAACATAAACTAAAGTGTGCATCATATACTAGGGTGGTACCATGATATCATCTCATGATATCAACTACGAATACTGATGTTGAGGAAAAATGTAATGGGTTTAAATTTGTAGGAATAGCTATCCAGCTTTTAGTTTTTTAACCCCAAAATTCTGTTGGGATTTGAAGATTTTAGACAATCATCATCAACGGGATTGTAGGTCCTATATTCAGTTGTAGTATTGCAATTCTTGACCTTGAAAGTAAAAGTAATCCCAGTTCTTGGAAAAAAAAAATCATTTATTTTATTGTTGTTATAGCTTGGACCCATTTCTCTATTTCCAGTTCTTAGAAATCAGACTTTTCCCTTCTTAAGAAAAGATGGCAGTCAAACTACAATTGTATTTCAGCTCCTAGAAGCAAATCTTGACTTCTTAAAATATAGAAGTATTTTTTTTTTCCATCCTCAATAGTTCTTATCGCTTTTCTCTAAAACATTGGATTTTTTTCCAGGGTGTGTTTTAAATTCACTTCTTCTGTTTTGCCTGTTCTTATAATTTGCTGCCAATAAAGATGTTATTTGTATTTAATTGCTAAGCTTTCCACTCCTATTTAAGGAAAATTTTGTTTGAGTATTTTCTTCCTCATTTCTTGTCTTACTTGGGTGCACAGTAACACCCTCTAGAAACGGATGCCTGGCGACTTTCCTGTAATTGAAGAGGTTGAACCCAGTGATGGCGACTTTCCTCTGTGGCTGGTGAGGTTCTGGTTGCTCAAATTGGCCAGAACTACCTTAACTCCCGCAAGCGAATTCTCGGTATGATGCATGTGAAATGGAAACTCCTGGTGAGATGGGTCTCCCTACTTGCTACAATCGGGATTTAGTAGTGTATTACCTACAGCAGATCGGATCAAGCTAATTAACGTTAGCAAAAATGCCGCCATAGGTTAGCTTTATCACTGACAACTTAGCATGTACTTGGTGCTAACCAACCAATCCTGCAGAACCTAAAGGGCTTGTATTGGTGCAAATAGCTGTTCAGCTTGTACCATGTTAAATCTGCAAAGGAATTGAGTGCTGGGTGAGGTGTGACGGTCTTTGCTACAATAATTGTGGAAGGTGATAAGTGAACATCTACAGCTCTAACACTGTATTTTCAGTGTGAAAAGTCCAACTTTTACCAGCACCTCTGAATAACTGAAGTAAATTACAAGTGTTTCATACTTTTTTTTTCTTTATACAAAACAGTAAAAGTAATCTTGGACCTGTCTACCAGCCAAAAACCCAGTATTTTTACTAGATGTTCGAACTGTGACTCGTTTTTCTCCGTGATGCTTTTAGTATCCAGTCAGAATTTTGTATGTGCAAGCAACTCAAGATCAGGGCTGTAAAGAGAAACAGCCTGTTGCCCAGTTTTGAAAAGTAAATGACAAGGAGAAGATGGGAATACAATAGCTTAAGGGATCTTTTTTTACTTAAATAAATAAATAAATCCTACATCACACCATTTGCTGGTCTACTAGTGAGGTGTTCCTCGCATAGACCAGAAAAACTTTTCAAAGTTGTATTTGGGGTAAGTGGGGCTAGAACTCAAACTGCAGCATCTTGGCCATCCATGCTGTACTAAACTAAGTAATATTTCAATAATGTCACAAGCTGGTGGATTTGAACTATGGAGTACTCCTTAGGGCTTCCAGGCTTTTAAATAACCATTATCCTGACAGCATTTAAACATAAATTGTATGCTTGCAAAGAAACAAATAGTAATTTTATAGACATCTGAAAAATGGCGCTTACATTGTATTTAGTGAAAAACCCTTTAATTTGGCCAGAGTAATTACCACACCACATTCAGCGTGAGATGACTAACAACACAACTCCTTTTTTAAATGCAACCACCAATTATTTTTTGTGGGTTTATAATGATAGTTTATTAAAAGAAGTTCCAAAATAAAATCATCGTGGTGAGAGTTTCCAGGCTGGAAGAGGCAGTTCTGGGAGGGTTTTCTACAGCACTGCAGAACACGTTTTCTCGGGGATTGGTCTGCGTTTGAAGAAACAGCTACCTTATTCCGCGCTGTTTGCCCGTGCTGGCCTGTGTCTGGCCTGGGCTCCCTCTCCTGGTGGAGGAAGCAGC